TATCTAAGCTTCCAGACCCAAGTGTCATTCTCTTTGTTCATGTCCTTGGTGCCTTTTACATAACCCTTCTTTGTCAAGATCCTCAGTAAAATTTCCTATGAATTTATTCGTTCATGGGGCTCCCGCAGACTCTTGCACACTCTTCTATAATTGCACTTAACAGTTTTATCTTAATTACATTTGTCTCCCTCATAATAACTCCATGAGTACTCATTTTGGCATATTAAACACATCTCAATGAACGTACAATAGGCATTCAACATACAGTTGGACAAGTAAGTTAACATAGTGTGTAGGAAGAGAGAAAGTGGGGGTTGGGTCTTCAGACTGTCAGGGACAGTGAAAGTAGATGGTGGCTCTGATCCAAACTCTTTGTACCCAGCTCAGCCGCCCTCTGCAGTTTACTTGAACCTCCACTCTGTGTTAAAAGGCACGTGCTTGAGTATGCCCCCTACAAATACACCTCCCGGAGTCAAGGGAACAGAACTCGGTAATTCTACATTTGGATAAATTAACTTTATATTTAGCTCTAGGTTAGCAATATCAAGGACAGTGTTAACAACACCAGGGTAGTGGTGCCATATATTTGTAAGAATTAAGTCATTGACATTTGAGAAAAGGGAAAGACTTCTGTGAATGAGCAAGAGTAAAAGTGTGCTGGACGTGTAACAGCTGCAGAGAAAAGCTTTAGACCAGGGAACAGCTCATGAAGCAAGGCTCTGGGTACAACTGCGAGTCAGCCTCCCGAGCTGCCATCTCTATCCTGGATGTGCTCCTGGACCCTGTCTTGGATAGGACTTTGGTGCCAAGAGCTTCAGTAACACCCAGCCTACCTATAGCCAGATGGTGCCTACAGACGGGCAAAGGTCACCCACAATTTCACCCACCTCAACACAGAATGCCAGCGCCGAGCTTAGCACTGGCGTGCAAGGGATATTCCTGAGAATGCAGGCACTTCTCCCTGCAGCTGTTGCCGGTTGAAGTTCTGGTCCACCAGGCACAAAACAGTCCATTAAATCCTCATCTTGGAAGAGTAATTACTCTAGGAGTTGCTGACATTCAGAGCCACATCTCCAAGTTTAAGAATACAGTCATTGTCATTGTCACTCTAATACTATACCGAATTATGGTGGTGGAGACAGGATCGGCAGTGGCCTGTGGGCTAAGTCAACTAGCTCCTTTTTGTTCCCAGGGTTGTCAGTGAAAATGGGTGTCACAGAAACCTACACCCAGTCCAGGCCATTTGGCGGTATCAATTTCCACAGAATAATATAAGAGGCCTTATATGGTATATGTTCAAAAGTTAAAATGTCTTTATGTTTTATTTTTTTGGAGAAAAAAATTAACGTGTTAACCTCTATCTAACATTCTATACGACTGACTCATGCTGGAGGCCAAGATCCCCGAGCTCTGGCATTCTCAGAACAGCAATAGCAGTCCCTGCCATTTTCAGTCTTAGGCTGATTAGCTGTACATGGGGAGTGAGTAAATGTAGCAGCTTTCAGCCAAGCTGGCGCAGGCATCAGTCCTGGGAACAGCAGTGACGTCCCGGTGGTACGCCACACTGAGGCTGGACAGTAGGCATGGGCGTTTAGGTGGGGCGAGCATAGAAGCTTAGCGGAGAAAGAGACCGGAAAGCACAAGGTGTGTTGAGGTGAGCCTGAGCACACCACTGAGGTCTCATGTTCTCTTGGAGAAATAGGGGACGAAACAGCTAGAAGATGGGGCAGAGCCAGACTGCGGAGGGCCTTGGGTAGACAGCAGGTGAGGCTGGCCCTGGTCCAGTAGTCGCAGGGGCTGCTGGAGATGGAAAGTAACATGATGAAAGCCACATGCTGAGGCTTTTAGAAGGAATGTGCTGAAAATGTAGCACTTAAAAGTGAAATTGAATATGAGAGAAAACTGGAAGTAGAGTGATTGGCCATTCAGTCTTGTAAACTGCCTTTTATTATCAGATAAAATTCATTTACAGAATAGCTGCTTTCCTCTTGGATATAAATGTCCCATGTGGAATCAAATCAAGAAGCAAAGAAAAATAGAATTGTTATTGTTCTAAGGGCTTAAGAGACAGGAAGTAAGATGGTACAATAAACCCTCACTGTTTATAACTTCTGAATCCCAAAATGTGTACGTCCCACCAAAGCATATAATTCTTCCCATAAAACGGTGTGAGATATGACTTCACTGGAACAACCACATCTGCCACACCTAGTTCAAAGTACCAAAGCCATGTGGAGGTGTGTTTGTGGGTTGTGTGCCACACTCACCCCAAGCGCCCTTCTTCCCGCCTCTTGAGAAAACACAAGCCACTTACTTTGTGCCTCCACCAGAATGGCCCCGAAATTCTTGTCATAGACAAGGTCCCCTTAAAGTTGTCTCTTTTTAAAGTACTGTTTTTCCAAGGTGAGTTTCAAGTAAGCCTACTTTTTTCACTTTGAACTCATACCCGAACTCCTTTGAGGAACCATGTGGCCACCCCCAAACTGCCTGTGTCTCAAGTTCTGTTTGGAAGTTTAATCATAAACACCCCCATGCATAGCTGTCTCCTCACCGTAGATGCTTCTGTTCATTGCCTGCTTCAGCTGCGCACAATGGGAGACCAGTAGGGAGCCCTTGGAGACCACCTGGTCATGAAGGAGGTGGCAGAGAGCTCTGAGTGACATTGGATGCCTGGGGTTGGTTGTGAGAAGAGGAAGAGAGGACCTCCTTATTCCCTTAGGTCACACTCAACTGCAAGTGGCTTCTTTCCTGAGTTACAAGATTAAGGTCAGCCAGTTATCACAAACTGAGTGCATGTTGTAGCCGATACCACAGTGTTTTACATTTGACATCTCAGGTAAGCAGTCCCTAATGAGTGTCATATTAATGGCTAATTCCAAACCTTAGACAATTCTAAGTTGAATTCAGCATTAACCGTGTTTTCCTCATGCTCCACTCTTGCCCAACACTAAGAAGCAATTGTTCTTTTTTTTTTTTTTTTTTTTTTTTTTTTT